CCCTACCACGGTGAGAAGAATAATATTACAGAAGTTGAGAAAAATATGTAAATAAAGAAATGTAAGTACCCTTAATTTTCAAAAATAATTCAAAAATATCATCCAGTCTTCTCCGCAATTTCATTCCTTCGTTAACTTAATATTATTGAATTTTTATTTAAAGATAACGAAATTAATAGTAAACGTAAATTAAAATCTTGATTTAAAATAAAATTCAATAAAATGCTTCGCCAATAATTTCATTTAAAAAATTTTACAAAAAATTACAAACAATACATTTCCCAAACATTAAGATATCAGAACAATCTTATATCTCAAAATAACAGGCAGAGTTAGAAGACTAACCAAATGAAAAATGCATTCTTATATAGAGCATTTTGTGTGCGATTCGAAATTGCTTAAAGATTTTGTATGCAAAAGATTTAAGCAGCTGGAAATTCAGCGTGAGATTTAAATTTGCTTAAATATTTTGTTGCTTTCTATATATATAGAAGTTTGATTAATTTTATTTTATTGGTGTACACAAGATAGCATTTTGGATTGACTACTATTTTACATATTTAGGTTTGTATTTCGTTTTAATTAATTACAATCCTATACTGAGGGCCTTTCTTGTGTTTTTTTTTTTCCTTCAAACAATCCTATCTTAGTCTAGAGTTATTGTTATCTACTAATGTAGTTCTTGTGTTAAGTATTATTTATATTTTATTTTTTGCTCCAAATAAATCAATGATATGTTTCGTGTTGTGACTACAGATTAAACATTGTTGTTGGACTTATAAAAAGTTTAGACAATACATTGTCAAGTATCACTCTAACGACACTAGGTAAGGTCATAACATTATGTTCAATGGCTTTAATGTATCTATACAATAACTGCAAATCATAATTCAATATTATGTCATCTTTACAGATCCGATTTTTTCATTCCGTGTTTTTTAGACAAATCTGAATTATCCACGACTTTATAACTTGCCTAATTTTTTGGCAATCCGTATTTTTTATCTGATTTTTTCCACTGACTTTTTGAAACAAAACCGATTCATTACCGATATTTTGGCTTGCCGATATATTATTATTCCCTGACTTGCTAACTATGGATCACCCATATTCCCAATTTGGCTTGCCGTTTCAGATAATGAAAATTAATTAAAAAATACCCTCCAAGCTGGGGAGATACTAGATCACTCTCATATTGTCGATTCAAATAGCACTTGATCATAACTAAATCGCATTGAGATGGTATGGGTCCTAGCTTGGTTTCCCTAAAACCCCTTATATGTTTATTTATTTATTTTTAGATTACCTAATATTTTTATGGGTAATTATCGCTAATATACCTATATTTTAATAAAATCGAAAAAAAAAACCCTAACTTTTCAAAACCTCACCTACACCCATTTTCTCAATTTTCAGTTTTTTTGGGACGAAAATAGTCTCCACGATAGTCTTTTTACCGTAAAAAACATTACGGTAATTTAAATATCATAATGTATATAAAAGTCTTATACCGTAATTCTTAAGATATTTTATACAGTAATTTAAATACCGTAAAGAACATTACGGTACTTTAATTATCGTAATAAATAAATATATTCTTCACGTCATTCTTATTAGCGTAATGCTTTGAAAAACTTCAAACCGAAGCTAATATCAGAGCTACCCCTCTCCTATGCCCTATGTGAACTTTCTATGTCTCTCTCTCTAAAACCCACATTTCTCAAAACCATTATCGGAGAAAAACATTTGCTGCCCTGGGCCTTTGACTTGTAAAATTTTGATCGAAAAGACTTGCAACAGGAGTGGCATTACTAAGGCCATGGAGATTCTCCATTTGGTGTTGGCAAAAGGTCATGTCCCTGGTCATTGTGTTTAGAATTTTATCATTGAAAGGTTGTGCAAAGAGGAGAGGTTTGAGGAAGCAGGCCAATTCCTCGAGAACAAGCCTGAACTGGATTCTTATAGTTACTGTATTTTGTTTGGTAGTTATTGTGATTTTCAGAGATGGGACGATGCGGCAGGGGTTATATTGGAGAAGACCCAGTCTGGGCTTGATCTCGACTCTCTCACCTGCAACATTGTGATCAAATCATTTTGTAATGTTGGACTTTTGAGCCATTCTATTTTGGTTTTTAAAGAGATGATTGATAGGGAGATTCCTACCACTACATAGACTTATGACCTGTTGATAAAGGTATAGAGAAGGCATGATCGATATGGCATTGAAATTATTGGATTGCTTGTTTTTTAAGGATTCCATTTTCATTACTGGATAGAGAAAGACGGGTTTTACAGAGAAAGTTCACCGGGAGGAGAGGGGCCGTTTTGATATTAACTTCGGTTTGAAGCATTTCAACTATTACGGTAATAAGAATGATGTAGATAATATATTTATATATTATAATAATTAAAGTATCGTAATGTTTTATACGATATTTAAATTACCGTATAAAATATCCTAATAATTACGGTATATTACTTCCCGTATAGACTTTTCTACACATTATGGTATTTAAATTATCGTAATGTTCTTTACGATAAAAAGATTACTGTTGAGGGTATTTTTCGTCCCAAAAAAATCAAAAATTTAAAAAAATGGTGTAGGCGAGGTTTTGAAGAGCTGAGGTTTTTTTTTCTGATTTTATTTAAATATAGGCATATGAAGGATGATTACCCTATTTTTATAGGTCCCTTATAAATTTTTATTTTATTTTTAATATTATTCTAAGATCATTAATTCAATCCGATCCAAACTCAATCGATGATTTGGATTGAGTATACATTTCTACAGGGGATTCACACCATTGATTAGTGTTTTATAACAGCAGGAGAGTAGAAAAGCCTCTTTTAGTTTGTATTCCACTCATGGCGAGAGAGCCTAATTGATTCAGGCGTTTTCAATGAGTGGAAATCTTCTCCCAAGGTGTAATTGTGCCATGTTTAGGAGAGAGGAAAATATGTAGAGAGAGAAACTAGGTCCAGGTTGTTGGGTTCCACTCATTTAAAGAGAGAGAAACATGTGAAGAGAGAGATTATTGAGCACCGCCAAGGTCTCAAGAAACATGTGTACGGAAGAGGAAATAGGGTCACATTGCCTATACACCTTTTTAGGTAATCGTACAAAAACTTATCCCTTCGGTTACCTTTACTATTTTCTCTCTCTAGCTAAAGGGTTTCTTTTAGGACAAGGTTTCTGTGATTCCATATGGAAACGGGTCCCTTTTTTAAAATATTTCTTTGAAATGGATTTTTTTGACTCATTTTTTAAGGATATGTTACCTTGGAGATCATGGAAAAAATAAATAAATTTTAAAAATTAAAAATAATAATTTTATGAAAAAACCATTTCGACTAACTGTTGAGTACAAATACTTTTAGATGAAACACCATCATTTATGCCTCGGGGTTGTGAAACATTTTTCCTTTCTTTTATAACTTACGATTTTGAATAGGAAGAAGTTTATGTAAAGGTGAGGCTTTAAACAATCAAACTAAGGTGCATATCAAAAATTTATTAGCAGAGGTAGTTTCGATACCCAAAAACCCTCAATTCAATCATCTCAATCTCGAGATGCATGAACATGAAAAAAATATTGATTTTAAGTCTTGAAAATAGTATATCTTGCAATGCATTGTCTAAACCGTCAATTTTAAAAATTATAATGTGTTCAGATATTTGCTCAATCTATACTATTTTTTAACCTTTAATTTTTATAATTAGGGATGAAAATAAATTTTCAAAGCATCACAAAGAATTTTAATACTGAAATAATATCTTTCGATACTATTTCAGGGTACGCCTTACTTTGATTGTACAAGGTCTCGACCTTATGCAAACCACAACCTTTTGAATATTAGGATATTTTAGGTCACTCATTTTCTTAATGGGATTATCTATAAAGAGACCGTTTATTTTTTTGTACATAGAAGTTACAACCATCGTTATCCCGTAAATTTCAAAATGGGTGGTTGTAAGAGTGTATTTGAATAGACACAAAGTTCCAAAATAAAATTATTGGGCTTCTAATTTGACATTTAATAAGTATAAATAATTGTTACATCCATGTACAAAAGATAAATGGTCTTTTTGTAGACAATTCTATAGCCTTTTATAATTGTACTAAATAAATTTTGAATACTTATATTCTATTATTTTGTAATACAATATTTTTTTAAAAGTACAGTTTCTATAAGGTTGTAACCCTAAACAATCTAATTAAGGCGCACCTCCAAATTTTATCATAACATGTAATTTTGGTGAAAAAATTCATTGGATTATCGCAAAATCTATTTTCTTGTCTAGTTATAAAATTTTAAATCGCAAAAATGGTTAAAATCAAGTAGATCTATAAATATACGAAATCTTGAAAATGGACAGTCTAGATAATGTAATGCAAGATGCACTATTTTTTGGACTCAAAAGACTATAAAGCATTTTATAATTGCACTCCACAAATTTTAAAGACTTATATACCATTGTTTTGTAATACACTAATTTTTAATAAAACCCGATTTCTATGCAGCCAAGACTGCCTATGTAGAAAATGCAGGCCTATTAATAAATCTATTTTTTAGATGGATTTTTGGACTTAATTTTTGAGGATATGTAATCTCTAATATGGAGATCATGAAGATAAAAAAATAAGTAAAATTTAAAAATTAGATGGAACACCTACTTGCATCCATTTTTATGATGGATGGTTTACACTTTTTAGAAGGCATATATAGTAATGAGACAATTTCTTTTTTAATAATAATATTTTTGGTCACTAAAAAGGATGTAACGTTATCCACATGAGTATAATGTTACCATCTTGTGTATGTTAGTGATATTTAATGTTTTATGTAGATGATGTCACACTCTAAAATACCCTCATTTTTTTGGCAATTTGAAACTATGGAAGGGCAATTTCGCTATTCTCGGACATATAGAGACCTATTATTCACATCTCAAAATTAACATCTAAAAACCAGTTTGAGTGTGGTAAAATATTGTAATAAGAATAAAAACCGATATTAATTAAATTTGCTTAGTAGAAACAGGCCCATCTCATCCATCTTCACTACAGTTGTTCTTTTTAACTGGAATTTTCTAAGATTATTCTAACATTTTCAAAGATTTGTCGACATGGTAATGGTCGCCCTCTCTCTCTCTATCCCTTTCTCTCTCTAGTTTATTGCGAGAAATTCATCTATTGTCTGCTGTTTTAGGGATTTATATGTAGGTAATCTAGCTGGGTTTAAATAAGAAAAAATGGCGGAAAATGGGAATATTGGATTTTGGTTCCTCTAGATTTAGGGGAAGTTTGCTAAAGTTAGGGGCTTTTCCCAACTGAGTTTCTGTTGTTTTGGTGAAATCCATGGTGGGTCTGCTCAGATTGCGCTTATATGAAGTGGGTTTAGAGGGAAAGGTGTCCTTTGGAAGTTTTTGAGAGAGAGAGGCTTGGAGGATGAAATGTGGGTTCTTTTTCAACCTCTGAGTTCTGGTTTGGAGAGGAGTGGTGATATGTGAAGTGGGTTTGAAGGAATGAGGTTGTGGTGCCTTTTTGTGGGAGTTTTCAGAGAGATGAAAGGGGGTAATAAGATAAAAAATCAGGGGGTTTCTCACTCTAAGTTGCAGGTTTGGATGGTGAGAGCTACAACCACTGTTCTTCTTTGGACGTGTTTGATCCAGTTGAGTGCTTTGCAGAACTTATGGGCACCTCGCTTGCTTAAGGGTTGGCCTTCTTGCTTTACTCAGTCTGATACTGATCCACATTCGAACTTAATTACCTTATCGTCTCCGAAGTTTGTTCTTCCTCCTAAACGTAAGACCTTTTCTGTTCTTGGTAGCTGCATTTCTTCTTCTCTCTCTCTCTCTCTCTCTCTCTCTCTCTCTCTCACACACACACTCTCTCTCTCTGTACCACTGCATAGACTTGTTAAACTTTACCAATGCTTTGTGTTTGATGGCTTTCCATGGAACTGTTCTGTTCTTTTATCCAGGTTTCACTACACTTTCTCTCTGGATAAAAAAAAATAAAAAATAACAAGAATAGATTGGAACATACAATTCAAGAAGATATAAAATCTTTAACCATTGATTTCTACTTGATGGGTTTCAATATATTTGCTGTTTTATTCATTGTGTTCTACATTTGATCATGTAGGGGTATATAAGAACAATGGCTACCTAATGGTTTCTTGCAATGGTGGACTTAATCAGATGCGAGCAGCGGTTAGTTTCCATTATTACTTGCTTTCCTCTCCACTCTTAAGTCCTTTTTTATTTGATAATCAGGATCCTTGGACTCCTTTCTTATTGAGAAATGAGAAACTGTAATTCTTGGGCTTTTCTGGTTTTTCCATTCATGACAATGGTTAACTGACAAACTGCAGATCTGTGACATGGTAGCCATAGCAAGATACATGAATGTGACTCTGATAGTACCAGAGCTGGATAAGTCCTCTTTCTGGGCTGATCCAAGGTGAGTTCCTCTCTCTCTCTCTCTCTCTCTCTCTCTCTCTGTGTGTTGTGTGTGTGTGTGTGTGTGTGAGAGAGAGAGAGAGAGAGAGAGTGAGAGTGAGAGTGAGTGAGAGAGTAGTGCTTTATGCCAAAGTTAATGACGTGGAGTAAACCAAGGCTTTTTTGGGTAATTGGCAAGCGAAGGTTCGAGTTTCACCTTTGTTTACTGAATTTTTGGCTTCTTGTCTGAGTTTCAAACTGAATTTCTTCCATGTATTGAAATTTCAATTGCAATTCTTCCATGAATTGAAATCTGGAACAATAAAACAGTTGGAATTTGAAATTCCAATCTGATTTTGGATTCATAATAGAAGAGAAGTGTCTATATGTGTGCATCTCAATTATTAATTTGTTCGGTGAGCTGAAACATGATATTGCAGCGATTTTGGAGACATATTCGATGTCGACCACTTCATAACATCTCTGAGAGATGAAGTAAGGATACTGAAAGAGTTTCCACCCAGGCTCAAAGGAAGAATGGAGAAAGGACAGCTCCTCTCCATGCCGCCCATCAGTTGGTCTAACATCTCCTACTATCACAATCAGGTTCACTATTTTCTACCTGTTCATGTGTTCATATATTTGGACCCTGTCCAGCAGAGAGAGAGAGAGAGAAAGAGAGAGAAATTTCTCTGTGAGGAAGTTAGTTTAGCAGATACTGAACTCTTTTTTCATTTCTTACCTAACAGATTCTACCTTTGGCGAAGAGACACAAGATTTTGCATTTGAATAGAACAGATGCTCGATTGGCTAACAATGGGCTGCCTATTGATATCCAAAGGCTTCGTTGTCGGGTAAATTATGGTGCCCTACGATTCACCCCCCAAATTGAAGAATTGGGCAGAAGAGTCATCGATTCACTGAGAAGGAATGGACCATTCTTAGTTCTTCATCTCCGTTATGAGATGGACATGCTAGCTTTTTCTGGCTGCACTCATGGTTGCAGCGTAGAGGAAGAAGATGAATTGACTAGAATGAGGTAAGATCCTCTCTCTCTCTCTCTCTCCCTCCCTTCCCCCCTCCCCCATCCACATGGTCGTAAAAAACTCAATTGATTTGCAGGTATGCATATCCATGGTGGAAAGAGAAAGTTATAAACTCTGAACTGAAAAGAAGAGATGGACTTTGCCCACTGACACCAGAGGAAACTGCACTAGTTCTGAGGGCTCTTGGTTTTGATAAGGATATCCAAGTGTATATTGCTGCTGGAGAGATATACGGGGGAGAAAGGAGGATGTCTTCTCTCTATTCGGCTTTCCCAAATACGGTTAGTGTGAATTAAACGCTATATTTGTCAGATTTTTTGTCATTGAGCGTATTTTTTGAGCTTATGTTCTCTATCTCGTCATTTAATTAACGAACTCCAAGCACATGCATGAGGTACTCGTGTTCTTTCTTATTGTTGTTCACAGAACTCAATGCCACGCATAGTTGCTTAGACAAGAAACAAATGACTGTTTGTAGTTGATACTGTTTCACTTTTGAGATGCTTGCATAGCGAATGTTTCATAACTTTATCTGGAGGTTGAATAGCATTATTCTCTAAACTTATGAAGTGCACTTTAAGAGAGCATCTATATCTTTAAACTCAAAATGACAGCATCTATATCTTTAAACTTAAAGCCCTCCCTGTCAGAGAAAAATAGTTGACATCTCAAAATCCTTTAGCTTTAGGTTAGAAGGATCCTTGTAACATACAAAAAGTTGAACATTAGCGAAGCAATTTTGGTTGTTATTAAGGGCTGCATGTGTGTGCAGGTTCCTGTGTCTCTGACCTCAACACCCATCTTTCCTATCAAAATCCTTTTAAGGTTCGAAGAGAACCTTGAGTAGGAACCTCCATATAACAAAAGTACCCTCACCCTTTAGTAAATTTATTTTATTTTCAAACAGAGTGATTTTGGTGACTAGTTAGACGCAATTTCATTGTCTCTGACTATTTGGTTCTTTGTCCTATGACAGAAATTCAAATTTTGGATAACTTTGTGACTCAGAAAAAAGACCACCAGGTTTCAAGTTTTTTGCGAGCTCTATGAGGCTATTGAACTGTTCTACTTTGTGAAATTGCACAGGTACAAAAGGAAATGCTATTGGAACCTTCTAATCTGAAGCCCTTCCAAAACCATTCCTCTCAGATGGCAGCACTGGATTATCTAGTTTCCTTGGCAAGTGATGTCTTCGTCCCCACATATGATGGTAACATGGCCAAGGTTGTTGAAGGACATCGCAGGTATGAGGTTGAGGGCTATTAGGGCTTATGTATATCTATGTTGCATCTATCTATCTATCTATCTATCTATTTATATATCTATTCATTTCTCTTGTGATCTTTCTATACCTCTCTTTAAGACAAATCTCATTCTCAAGAATTTTTCCCCAAGGTGATTTCTTAGGAGATTTCCAAAATTTTGGTTTTCATCAGGAAATTTGAGGCACAGTTCAGGAGCATCTCATAAAAGTAAAATTACAGAATGCAAGAAACAAAAAAGATATAATTCTTTTTACATTTCTTTTGAAACACAAGTTAAGCTTCTACAAACTCAGTTAGCCTTCTCCTCGAAAAGATACTTCTGTAAACTCAGGCTTCTCTTATGGAATCATATAGATTTGTTGAGTTCTAATTGTCTTGTAGGATTATATATACATTTAAGCGTAGATTTATTTTTTCAAAAATACAAAATGCAGGCAGATGTCTATAAATAAGAGAATAAATCTCCCAATAGTAAGGACATTATATTTTTAAATAGCCTCATTATATTACAATATTACTTTTTTTAAGAAAACAGTAATTATATTTGGACCCCATGTTTGTGTGCTTCACTATTCATTTCATTTTCTGCCTTTTTACATAATAGATTCTTGGGTTTCCGGAGAACTGTACTATTGGACCGAAAGCTTCTAGTTCATCTACTAGACCAACATACCAGTGGGTTATTGCCATGGGATGAGTTCTCTCTAGCGGTCAAGGCCGCTCATACAAATCGGATGGGTCAGCCTGCAAGAAGGTTGGTGATTTCAGATAAACCCAAGGAAGAGGGTTACTTCTACTCTAATCCTGAGGAATGCCTGTCTTACTCCGAAGACACGTTGAGATCAGATACTTAGATATACTTATTATTATATTTTTGGGGATATAACTCTCAGTTGAAAAATCTATTTTTTGGGGTGTTGACCCAAATAAAGTGGGGAGGTCACAGAGTTCCTTTTGAAGCATTAATGTAAGCATGAATTGGGTTTTCTTGGAGCCATGTGATGAGTGCTCAAGGATCTGAGACCTGCTTCTTTTATTCTGTTCAAATAAGAAAGGGTTAGGGAAACCCTTATCAATTCATAGAAAATATGACACATTCCTCGGATTTTGAATATTTTTCATCTCCCCTTGTCTTTTGACTGGAGATTTGTGTGGAGAAGATAGTGTTACATGGAGCACCAAAAAAGCCAGCATGTATGTCTCTAAAACCTCCTCCTGTGCCAAGCCAAGATAGATGGCTTTCAGATAGCAATTGCAACTATTATGGAAAGAGTTCTACATCATCAAATGAAATCTCTATCACAGGTCGGTTTTGATGAAATTTTTGCATGGGTCTGCTCTTTGTGTTAACAGAAAACTGGTCACACCGTAATGTTCTATGGGGAATTGTTGCTGCATGGTTCTTGTCAAAATGGCTGAATCGATTTTCCGTTCTTATGTGTAAAACTGGTATGAAAGATTGTACATCTCATTTTGTTGGACAGTTTAAGGGAAGATTGACTTCCTGTTGCCTTGAATCTCCTATGGGGAAAATCAACTCAAAGTTGGGTGGTACCCAAATTTGTATTGATGCTTGTTTTCTTCTCCTCTTGTGCAACTTGTGCCTACATTTGTCCATTCATCAGTAAGATATTATCAATAAAAAATAAACATGCTTATCAGATATTCCAACAACTTGGTACTTGTGAAACTTCAAATTTGTGTTAGCCATTTGAATAAATAACTTTTCGAAGAAACGGTGTTGACCCAAGTTTTGGGATCAGTTTTCTAAAAACTGGCTATGGCAATTGGACCAGTGACCTGCTGGTTCCGAGCTGGCTTGGTCAACTCAGTGAATTATTTAAGGGAAATTTATCAAATTATACATAAGATAAACACTTTAGCACTTATGTCTTTTGATTTAATTTTAAAATACTCATAAAAGGACATAAAAGAATACATGATCTTGAGTTGGAATGGTTCCAAATGGGTAAAATGGTAAATAATTACTCTCTTATGTGTATATTGATAAATTTCCCATTCTTTAGACGAATGAAAATCTGTAAGAAAGAAAGTTTTTACATGTTTGGGCTTGAAATCGATTTTAAGGTCAGTGTAAATCTAAACTCACTCTAAACATTAAATTATTGCATTTAAATATCATTGAAACATCATTTTTGGGGCTAATAGGGCCAAGTTCCAATTCCACGGGAGACTCAGACCGGTGCCCCTCTGGTTTTAAGCCAGCTTAGCAATTTTTAAAATATAATTTGGACATTAAATAACCCGTGATTCAAGTTTGGACAAATATGGAGAATCGGATAGAATTTTTATATGAGACACTGAACTGAGACCTAGTAATCATGCATTCTAATTGGGTGTGATTTGCTTTAACTTTGGAACCTTAAACAATTGGGTGTGATTTGTTTCAACTTTGGAACCTTAAACAATCGAAGTAAGGCAGACCACCAAATTTTATCACAAGATATAATATTTGGTGTTAAAAAATTTTAGGATGGTTTGAGAGTCCATTTTCATCTCTAATTATAAGATTTTAGATTCTAAAAATGGTTCGAATCAAGTAGATCTATAAACAAATGAAAATCTTGAAAATAAATGATCTAGGTAACGTATTGCAAGACGCACTATTTTTAAGACTCAATTTTTTTGTTCCTATATCCATACGAGATGATCAATTAGAGGGTCTCCAACTTCGAAACAGCCTTCTACAATGGATTTTTTGGTGCACCTTAATTCGACATTTTACCACTTTAATTAGAGGGTCTCCAACTTCAAAACAGCCTTTTACAATGGGTTTTTTGGTGCACCTGAATTTTACATTTGACCACTTTAATTAGTTGGGAAGTGTCTTCTATCTCTTCTACTTGGATTTCTTCACAAAAATCTGGTCTTAAATTTACACTCTTCTACAGTAAAGAATCTCAAAAATTAAAGCACAAGTGACGAAGTAACCAGTTGCAATCCAGGTTTTGTCTCTTGCTACCCCTTTTCAAGGTTAATATTTCTGGCATGCCATTCTAAATAGTAAAAAAACAGAGTTCATGAAAAACAGCTATTACATTAAAGTGAGAATAGAGAAGTTGCTGAATAATGTCCATTGTTTGTAGCTGCAGCGACACCAGAATCCATGCGGCTGAACCCCATCTAGTTTTTCGGTTTGAGGACCCGAAAAAGACAAACATATTCATCACAAAAGAAATGATCTTCGAGCTCCTAAAACGCTTCATGTCTGATCAATCCTCTGTATTAAAATAGATGTTCAAATTTTGTAGATACTAGACTGCATTTCCAGGCACCCAAATGCCTTCTTTTGTTTTTATTTTCTTGTAGCAGATTAACAAGCTTTTTGGGTACTCAGAAACCCAGAATTATGTTTAAGGTGCAACTGCACGGGTTTTGGTGTAGCCAATGCTAGACCAATACATTTCTAGCTCCAAACAAGTACTCAACAGCGACAACTATTTGACTTTATTTGTTCAAAGATATCTAAAAGGAAGAAAAGATAGGAAAATCTTCTCTAAACCACCATTAAAATTCACGAAAAATCTTCTAACTCAACTAGTTTCATTACTCAGAAGACAAGAATAATGTTTTAAAAGCAAAACATAATGCATCATCGACCCAATTGAGCAACCCGTAAAGTAAATTCTAAGGTTTAGGCTCCAAGATTGACGTATCAAATGGAAATGTCTCTGTAAATGTCTTGAAGTCGGTTCATATGGGCAAACAGAGTATCAAATGCAGATTTCTGTGCAAATGTATTGAAGACGGTTCACATGGGGCAAACAGAGTATTAGTGCAAGGATAATGATTATGATTTGAAAAATAAAGATGGACATTACTTTGAGCTGTTAAGAAAGAAACATAATTTATGATTACAAAGATAAGCATGAGAAGGGCCGAGAGTTGACATTCAAGATGTAAAGAAACAAAGGTCACGAAAAAGCTTTGCAAAGATTTTCAATAACAATTACATTCAACATTTTACTGATGTTTCGTTCTAAACAGAGTATAAATGGCTACTCCATAATTTGGAGGGAACTTGTTATGAGCTAGATCTAACAGTATCAATAGCAGCAACAAGATCATCTAACTTCGCTCCTGTTACTTCTTTGACAACTTTGTTCTCCTTCAGAATCTTGAAGGTGGGAACGACCCGTATACCCAATTCCTTTGCCAATGGCTGCAAGAAAAATAATACATATGAGACAGAGTAAGGGGCGGTTTCGATTTAACAAAAAATAATTGAAAGAAGCCCCACAGACCTTGTTTTCTTGATTGCAGTCGAGCTTTAGGAATATGACATCACTATATTTCTCAGATAATTCTTGGAATTTTGGAGCTATCACCTTGCATGGACCACACCTTCACACAAAGGGTAATAGTTTTAGTATCCGACTCCAAGTTCACATGTAACCTAAGAAAAAGGTCACACTTTACTGGTGGCAGTTTGATCCTAAACATGAGATAATCAAGAATTTGATGCTATAACCCTAAAACTGCAATCCCATTACGACAGTTGGAAAACACATAATACAATTGAATCTTTTTCTATCTCCTGATTTCAGAAAGCACTCGAATTGAAATAATTTCATTCGAAGACTACTATTGATGAAATGAAGTAACAATGCCTAATGCCTACTGAGAAGTAGGCATCACAGGAATAGGGAAAGCCATAACATGCAACTGTAAAACTTCTGCATAGGGATTTGCTCCAATATTGCATTCAAACCACATAAATAATAATTCGTATCTAAATAAAATGCAAAAGGAACAGAAACCACATAAAAAAAATCACTCCCGAAAATTGTATTTGCCGGCGTGGTCTAGAAGAACCAATATTCCAGTAACAGGGGATAGGTGGGTGCATTGAAACGGAACTTCATAAATGTAATATAAAAAATCTTAACTTATGAGCTTGCAAATTCATAATGTGTAAAGAGCTCTGCCAATTCAATGTAGAGTATCATCAATTATGAAGTAAAGATGTGCAAAAAAAAAAATTTCGCTGCACATGAGAAATAAAACCAGGCCAGCAAATATCAAATACTTGGCTGAGAAGAAACAAAGATGCTGCAATACCAATTATACAGTTGAATAACCTTGACAGAAAGCAAAAGACAGGCTGCAGTACTCTCAGGAAACAAACAAAGGGGACCCTCTTCCCATATAGGTGGCTCAAGACCAACAATGCCAATGGTTTCAAGACCCGCTGGCCTCTCCTACTGCATTAAAATTCTGTTTGCTTTTGGTTGGGAAAGAAAAAAACACTCCTGGGATTGAATCGTTTCAAAAGTATTACTTGTTTCCTAGAATTCTTGCCCTTCGAGAAAATTTAATCAAACAAACTTTGAGGTTTCCCAAAGAGTAATCTTGGGTTAGTATCCACAAGTTTCTCATTCTCCACCTTAGGAAGCTTATCCACAGATTTCTAGATTATACACTTCAGTATTTTCCATAATCCAATGGCTGCCACACTTTCTAAACCTTTTGAAACTGCTAAGCATTCTGAACCAGCAATCCCACAAAAGACTTATGCATAGACCCAATGACTAATCATACCCCTCCGAACAACAATTAAACAGAACTATAATGGTAAACATCTCCAGGCCCTGCAGTATATAAAACTCTGATGAAAAAAGGTAGTTCTGCTTTTGTGTCGAACAACAACATTTTTCAACGCATCTCTGCGGATGAATTGCTGAAACATGAATTGATAGGACCAATGGAAAGAAACAATGTCTTCGTTGTTTTTCCTAGAAAAAATTTACGAACAATATAGGTGAAAACTATCGAGGGATCAAGCTTATGAGTCATACTATGAAGCTTTGGGAAAAAGTCACTGAGCAACGACTAAGGCATGAAACGAGTGTATTTGAAAACCAACTTGGTTTTATGCCAGGGAAGTCAACAACTAAGGCTATTTTCCTACTTAGGCAACTGATTGAGAAATTTAGGGAGAAGAGAAAAGACCTCCACATGATCTTTCTTGATCTATAGAAAGCTTATGACAGAGTACCTCGAGATTTCATTTAGCGGGTGTTGGGAAAGAAACGTGTCTCTAAACACTACATCGACTTGGTGCGAGATATGTACAATGGAGCGGTTACTAGCGTACGAACAACTAGTGGAGAGACGAATGAGTTTTCTGACAATAGGTCTACATCAAGGGTCAGCATTGAGCCCGTACCTCTTAGTCTCAGTTATGGACGACTTAACTAGGCACCAACAAGATGAGGTACCGTGGTGCATGTTGTTCGCAGATGACATAGTTTTGATTGATGAGACCCAAAACGACATCAACACAAAGTTAGAACTTTGGAAGGATGCTCTAGAATCCAAAAGTTTTAAAATTAGTCGGACTAAGATAAAGTATATAAAGTGTAAATTTAGTAATAATAGAAGTAAAGACGAGGTAGTAGTTAAGATTGATGGCCATGAAGTACAAAAAGACAGCACTTTCGATATCTTGGGTTGATAATCTAGGAAAATGGAGAGATCGAGGAAGATGTCGCACACAAAATTAGAGCTGGGTGGGCAAAGTGGAGATGTGCAACTGGAATTTTATGTGATCGCCGCATACCAATGAGGCTAAAGGGAAAGTTCTATAGGACAGCAGTGAGACCAGCTTTGCTCTATGGGGCGGAATGCTAGGCGGACAAAAAACAATATACCCATAGAATGAGTGTAGCGGCAATGAGGATGTTGAGATGGATGAGTGGCAAGACAATAAGGGATAGAATTCACAATGAATCGATTTACGAGAATTTAGGTGTGGCACCAAGGCGATAAAATGAGAGAGAGTAGACTTAGGTGGGCTGACCCATGTGTGGCGCCGACTAAATACAACACCTGTTATAAGATGCGAATTAGTTCAAGTAGAATGATTGAAAATGGCAAAGGGTAGGCCCAAAAGGACATGGTTAGAAGTAGTCCGAAAAGATATGGGGACTTATGGCCTCACTGAGGATATGACCTTTAATAGAGCAGATTGAAGAACCAGGATTCATGTAGCCGACCCCAATTAATTGGGACAAGATTAAAATGATGATGATGATGATAGGTACCCAGCCAAAATCATAAAACACTTCTTGTACAAGTGTTGGCATGGTATGCCCATCATTTAACAAGGATAAACAGCAAGACATGCAGCAGTGAAACAATACACAAACAATAAGAAATAATGCAAAAATACCACGACTCTCTTAAGAGGAGGCAAGCAGAGAAGACAAATGCCACTTGAATAATATAACTCCTCACATTTTTAGATCACAAATTGCGATTGTTAGAGATGACAAGGCATAATAATTTCAGATATCCAATTAACAATAAAACAAATAAATCAAAACAACCACTCTCCTCAACAAAAGTAACACCAAAGATTGCATAAGAATTTCCACCAAGTCAAACAACCTGGGGAAGAAATGCATACGAATAATGGATTTTACAGTTCACCAAATCTCAAATGGGTAAGTCTCAAACAAGAAAACCCGAAAAAATTTGGCATAACACAAGTGAATTATGCGGCAAATTCATCATTAAAATTCAGATCAAACTCTCTCAGAATAGTGCCCAACATTGGCCATGTTAGTGGATTGAATATCAGCCGATTTCTTCATATTTTCGGCCCACTTTGAAACAAAGTCAACTCTACCAATTCAGAGTCAGAATTTTCCTTTGCCAAAGCCAGTACTAGGTCCAAATTTTAATACCATGCAGGAATTACTTCACCAATAATATCTTGATTTCTAAATAAATAACCTATACGAATTAATTGTGAATATTTAACCATGAACAATAAAATTCAAAATATATACAAAATAAATCTACTGAATTAAATTCTATTCCTCATCTATACACGAAATAAACAAATTCTCCACAAAGAAATTCATCACAATAGATTTCAATCACTTACCCATAAAAAATAAATTTATTTTTATCATAATCTACACAAAATATGGATATAGAAAAGCTAAATTTACATGAGAAAGGCAAAATAAGGGAGATTACCACTGAGTGTACATATCCAAAACCACCACTTTATTTCCTGCTGCATTTACTATAGGCCAGAAAGTATCCTTGTTCACTGCTGTAACCTGCCCCACAACTGGCTCTGCCATCTCCAAGCTCCCCTTAACTGAAATCCTATTCGCCTTCTCTCTCAAAGAAACCTCGCCGTAAGGTCTCGAAACCCTGAACTTACAAGAATTCAACCTGTATTTGTTCAATCCATCAGCTAGAAAGGCTTGGGGATAACCAGATAAGAAGCTCGCCATTTGAGAAGGACCAAGAGAAGAAGAAAGAATGTGAGAAGCCATTGAACCAGGTCTTGGCTATAACCGTTCCGAAGCAGATTATACAAAAACTGGAAGAATTGTGAGTTGGACTTTTAACCAGGTTACAGAATTGTTGTACCCTAGAATTTAAATAGTCCTTCTGAGTTTGTAAAAATTAGGAAATGGGGCGTAATTTTTTAGCATGGCATTGAGAGAGAGAAAGAGAGGCGGTATCTATTACAGTCCCAGTGATGGACAAACAGTGGGGTCACTGTTACAAAATGGAATCTGCATCTGGTGGCCACAATTTCAGGAAGCCAGTACACCATATAGAATATACGAATAATAGTCATCGCCTTATTAATGTATAATAATAATTCGAAATTGCGGTTTCTCACTTGAGTTTGGAAACTATCTTTAGGTTCTCTTGTTTTATTTTTTATCTTTCCTTGGGCCGGGTCGACACAGGTATGGGCCTAAATATTCGACCAGGTGGTTAGGTTAAATCGAAGAAGATCAATATATCGGCTTACCATAAAATAAAAAATAAATCGTTTCCATTTTAAAAAGTTGGATGAAAAAATGGGGTAAAAAATACGAATCGGCAAAAATACTTCATGTAAAAATATCACAAATATATCGGACTAGGCTCAAAAAATTGGAGTGAAAAAAGCATATATGTTTAAAATAAAATTAATTAAAAGTTAAAATAAAATTAAGTTGAAATAAAAAAATAAAATGATAAGTTGCTGATAAATATACGATATGAATTTTTTCATTAAATGCTTTAACAAAAAATCACACATACTTAGTACATAACGCAAAAAAATATATATTCATTTCTCTCTCCGTATGGTGACCACCCCTTTCTTTTTATAACCATAGTTAAGTAATGGGAAGATGTACACCTTTTTTGATTAAACAAGTAATAAATGCAGTAGACCAAGAAAAAATACAAAACAAGAAGACGAGCATTACGCAAAATGAGAGAGAAACAAACACAAAATCTTCCATAAAGAAACGCAGAGTGAGAGAGAGAACATGCATAGGCAATAAAGAAACAAGATGGACATAAAATGTCAGAGAATATGAAGAACATGGTAGACATAAACTCTAATCTAAGATTTTCAGTCATGAATTAGGTTTGAGGATTGAGCTCTAATCTTTCTTTCTTTCTTTCTTCTTCTTCTTCTTTCTTTCTTTTTGTAAGCATTTGTTTTAGGGATTTAAGATGTTGTAGAAATTGTAATAATTTGAGTCTTTTAACCCTAATTTGGATGGATTTTTTGGTGGAATTTTGTCAAGTCAAAATTTAAAAATTTTTTGTTCAATGATTTTTATGGTATTTTATTCTAATTTGATTTGTCTCTTTCTTCATGTTTATAAATTTGGGATCCTAGACTGAAAGGACCTGGTTTTTTCGCGATTGTTCATTCTACCGCCCCTTCTTAGTTCCTATACATACACGGAATGTGTATCATAATCCATTGGATTATTTTTTTGTTTTGGGGTAAGTGAATCCATTGGATTATAGTATGGGTTACTGGATTACATACCACTACTCGTGATGGATGGTTAGAGATGAAATTTACCTGAGAGCCACTGGTCCCGTTAAGGTTGATCTCCGACCATTTATCATCGGAAATTATCGATGTAACCATGGAGTACCATACACCATAATCAATTGGACTATGGTCTAGTTACCCTAATCTTTAATCACACTACACTTCTTGCATCTGAAAGTGTTGGATTTTAGAGCTGAAACAAAGGCATTATGCATGGCAGATGTTCTACAAGCACGCCAAGAAAACCAACCAATGTCGATATTATAGACTGATTCAATTCTTGTATTTGTGGAAGTTATGAGTGATTCAATTCTTGTATTTGTGGAAGAATTAATGGTTCATGATTATAAAGAGTGAGATGATGAAAATATTGTGGTGGTTGTAATATCTATCGCTATTATATAATTGTGGGTTTCCCTTAACTCTTTGGGCATGTGGTGGGTAGCTTTCTATTGTTCTGTCTTGTGCTTTTCTGACTAAGAATCAGGGTTCCAGTTTTAATGGTTCCTTGAACATTTGAATTTTGAAGGAGGGTGAAAAAAGTGAGGAAGTAAATAACAGAAAATGGGGAAATTTATCTAGGTACCCAGTAGAGATAAACTGTTTAATATTCTTCCCCTATTTTTTGATTTAGTTTCTAAATGCTAATAAAAAAATCCATAGGATTATATAAATTTTCTTAAAAGAAAGGGACTGGTTGTTAGTGTGATCGATATACATGGTACAACATATGTGTAAACATTAGAACACCAGACAATAAATGGACAAATCCTTTTAAATGTCTGTTTTCACAGAAAATTCTCCCAAAATGTCAGTTTTATAATATGTCAAAAACATCTTTTGAAACTTATTTGAGCCTATACTTATTTGAGCCTATAAATTGGTAGTGACGTCATTGGAGTAGTCTTCAAGATGAAGCTTCGGCTTCCCTGAAATTATTTGATAACAACCTACGCAGGATAGAAAACTACTGGTTTTGCCAGGAAATCGCCAGAGAGCTAGTTTGGTCGTTCTGTAATTGAAGTCTCCGTTGGTAAAAAAAATGGAGGACAATTTCAGTGCTTTCCTGAAAACCATCAGTTTTTGCCGGGAAAACCCAAACTGATCAAAGATCAGAAGTTAGCTGAAACTGATCAAAGATTAGAAGTTTACTAGACTTCAGAAAACCACAACTTCTGCAGAAAAGCCTCTAAATTGTTAGAAATTGAAAAGATAGTAGGGAACCCAAAATGGAAATTGAAGAGGGATATGGAGGAAGAGTTTTGGTTTTAATTTGTGCCATTAAATTTTGAAAGAGCCAAATTAATCTTTTGTGTGAAATATTTTGAGAGTTTTTGAGAGAGCGTGTGTTTAGGGATTCCTTTGAGGAGAGGGGAGAGAAGTAAAAGGGAAACCTGTCTAGTTTTTATTGAGCCAACCCAAAAAAATGTACAAAGGGAGGATTTCTGGGAGTAAAGGATAGGTTAGGAGCAGAAAGTGTAGCCATAAACCACCGGATGGGATTTTTGCTATAATATTTTGAGGAGGGGCATGGCCATTGTTTTTTTTTCGGAGAGAAGTTACTGAATCTGCAAGGAAAAAGTTTATACATATCTCAGGCTCTAAACAATCGAATTAGAGCTCACTTCAAAAATTTCATTCGAAGACGTTGTTTTGATGTCCAAATATCCTCAAATCGATCATCTCGACATCAAGATGCATGGACATGAGAAAAAAAAATGGACTTCAAGTTTTGGAAATAGTCCATTTTGTAACGGTTAATTTTCAGGAGTTTCAAGTTTTCATGTATAAGCTTTGAATTTTATAATTAAAGATGAAAATATAGTTTAAGGCTATCACAAAGATTTCTAGTATTGCAACCACATTTCTCGACCCTATTTGAAGGTGCATTTTACTTTGATTGTTTAGAGCCTTGGCTCTATACAAACCGCACATGTTTATTAATTTCTAGTTTTATTGTACAACTCAAATAAGACTTTTAAAACGAGAGCTATAAGCATAATTCTTGTTTGTTGGAAACATGGGGTAACCTAGGGCAATTTGGATCAATGGAAAAAAAATTACTAGGTTTTCTTTAATAAAGTGAGATTTAGGAATCAAAACAAATAAGGGTACTTAGGCCTTTTAGCTCAAGTAAATTGAGAAGGTTAAATTATCAAAATACACCCCTTTTCAGGGTTCTGTTGGAAATAAGGGAATTTGGGCATTTTTAAACAAAATATTGAGGAATTACCCAAATGAAAAGGTATTTTAAAAAGTAACACTGTATTGATTGATTTAAGCACCTAATTGATCTTTTTTTTTAAGGCTTAACTGTGTCAATATCTTCTTCCTATTCCTGAACAATGTTTTTCATAATAAATATATTAAGAGGGCTTCAAAGATTCGAAATCCCCATAAAATAAACTCAAACTAAGTTTTAGATCTTGAGATATAAGTTCGTCTAGGTTTACACCAACATGCAAGGTTAAGGGGTTTATATCTTACGAGATCTACATAAATGAATTGAGAAAAGCTATGGGCTTATGAAAGTGTTACTGAGATAGAGAGAGATCAGGCCCCTAAAAAGGGACAATGGGCAGAGGATTGTGGAAATACATAGAGAGATGGTTTAAGAAATTAATAGAGAGGACATCGTGTTGATAATTGATTAAGAGAAGATCCGACCCTTTATATTACAATGGACTAGTGTTTTTGGGTAGTCACTAACAGAATGGCTTGTGTACACTTCTATGGTTTGTGTTAAATAATGTCAAATAGATAGGTTTCTGAAAAAAATAAAAGAAACAAATAAATTCTCCCATAGGCTCGGCGCCTATATATAGGAAGTTATTATGCAACATCTATGGATAAAATTGAACAATATTTTCACCCATAGGCTTGACGCCGTCCGATTTTTTCGAACGATGAGGATTAAAAACCGTCACAGACCTAGCATGTTCGTGGCGGGCAAACTATCACAAACATAGCAAGTATGCGGCGGTCAAAAAACAAGCGGAACCGCCACGGACCACTTACCTTCCATTGCGGCTCCATTCAATAAACCGCCACTGATATAGCATGTCCGTGGCGGGGAAAAACACTGTAGCAATTCGCCTATAGAGGTTAGCCCACTAGCTCATAGCTACATATGAGCCCAACAACCCAAATTGAATTTGGGTCGATCTGGTGGTTACAACCACATTTCATATTTGATTTTTTTTACAAATCTAAATCACTTAAAATTTTAGGTGTGCATTCTTTAAATATAGAAGAATATAATAAATTATCAAAAAATAATTTGCGAGACATAAATTGATCAAAATACCCCCAAAACTTTCAGGGGTAGTTTGGTCAATTTATTTTTTATGAATTATTTTTTTATATTTTTATTAGGTGCGCTTTGATGAGAAGAATGAGTGTCAAAAATGTTATTTGATTTGGATTTTTAGAAAAAAAATTAAAATTAAAATACGAAATGAAGTCATGACCCTCAGATCAATTGAGTCATTGAGCTCATATGTAGTTGTGAACTAGTTGGCTAACCTTAGCATTTCTAAGTCGTGGGAGGCAAGGCACACAGGGGATAGG